TTACTCGTTTTATTTCCCTGATATATTTATTTCGCAAAGTACAGTGCGAAGCTAAATCATAGGACACCACATAAAATATTGATATCTTGGCCCAAAGAAAACAAACATAGGTAGTGGCAACCTAGAAAATCAGAACCGCCTTTATGAAAAACCCATAACTACCAGACCAGATCATCCGATTAGTTTCCCGTATTTTTAGACAATTTTTTTTTCTCGGAGGCGGTTCAAAATCATAGGACACCCAGGGTCAAGTAGGCGTTGGGGAATCCTCGACATGTCAAGTCGTATTGGCCCGCTGGAAGGAAGAGTCGGGCAGGATCGATGCAGCAGGATTATCACTGGTGGAGGGCAAACATCAAGGATTGAATCGATGCCATGGAAGGCCAGTAACTAGTAACAGCTAGTAAGTAATGTAATTCCGTTGAAATAAAATTTTCGTGATTTAGAAAAGTCCGCGTAGTGATTCTTAGTTACTTCTGCCCAGTTAGCCCAGAGGCGCTTCAACACAACGGCTCACTGGAGAAAGATTCTCATTTCAGGGGAAATTAAGAGGATTCCGAAAGGGTTCATGTGCAATTACAGGGACTACAGGGAGGAGACCACTACTCAACAAGAAACGCAGTCTTCAGCGTCGAATTCATAAACATGTAGTCGTCAGAGTTGAAATACGCGAAACAATTTTACACGTCCTGGAAAGAGAAAAGCTCGTGGATTTCGAGCGTTCCCCCACTTTTGTGCAAAATTGCCCCTGAAAGCAGCTGTAGTCGTAGGAATAGTGCCAATGCAGCGAAAAAGTACCTTTCGGCGGCAGTCAGGCAAAAATCCTCAATGTGGCCATTTTTTAGGTACTAGACGTATTACTCTGTTCTGATAACCACTGAATAGAGCACTGGTTTTGTCCGCCATAATAGCTTTTAGATTTGATGAAAATGGAAAATGGTTCCAGAAGTATAAAAACTCGCGCTCACCCCATATTTTCCTCGTTAATTATTCTAAATTTGTTATTCCTTGCTCATCTCCATACTTTTAGCACTCATTCGAGATAGCGTTGAAAAAGCTGCGGGAAGACACTTATGTAATCAAGGTAGAGTTGCGGAAAGGCCTTCATATCTCATCATATCCTATTCACTGAAACTGTGGCATACGGCTAATACGCCGTATTTGTCACCTTTGTCATATTGTTCTATTGCTGACATGGCAGCTACCTTGCTGACTTCATTTCACCAAACCTTCCTGCGACGCCCTGCGAGCCCTCAATGAAGGGGCCTTCCAGTGTTTTGTTTCTTTCGGACCTCTTTTCTTTGGTAACAAGGAGCTTAACGTTGATGATTCAGATGACGTTGTTCATTAGTAGAGGGGTATAGGACAGGTTTCGATGAAACTCCTATATTGATACAAATTTTCGGAGTAGTTTCCTAGATGAGGGGGTGCGTAAACTTATCCTGATTCCTAGACCTGAAGTATTTCTTCATTGGAATGAGTTTACTAGGAAGCAGGAAATGTGCAGAGAACCAGCTGCTTCCAGAGATTTCGCATAAAAGACCACCTTTCCAATAAGTAACATACCCTGTCATGCGAAGGCTTCAATGAGCCCATGTCCACAAACGAACTCGCTGACAATAATAGATTGGCCAGAGAGGGGTGCGCGTCTGAAATTTGTGAAGACTCACTTGTAAAACCTTTGTTAGCAATGGCTGCAAAAATGCTCACAAGATCAGCACAATTTCAGAGTTGAAGCAACGGATTCCCCACTGATGCGCACCACTTTGATTTAAATATGTATAAAACTTTACGGCAGCGATACTTCTTGTATGGATAGAGAAATTCTGCTAAGTGGTTCCTTTTGGAATACTAAAGCAATAAGATTCGGGCAGACTTCTGTATTTTTAAGGTTTTGACGGAGGGTTTCCTATGATTTTTAACTGGCTTCAAAATTAAAAAATTAATCTAAAAATATGGAAAACTAATCGGATAACCTTGCATTCTGTGACTATAAGTTTTTCATGAGGATGGCTCTTATTTTATAGCTTGCTATGAATGACCAATCCTAGAAGCCGAGATATTCATGTTTTGGGGGATGTCCTACGGTTTTGCACAGCAATGTATACAGGGTGGTCCAAAATTATGAGGACTGCGTGCGCGCGGTCATATTCACTTTTTTCCCCATCGCTCCATTTTCATCTCGTTTTCTGTGCACTATGTGAAAGGGTACAATGTCTTCTTTCTATTGAAACCCAATTTCATGAAGCTCTCAAAACAAGTGAAATAACTACTTCACGTTGAGTCAGTCCTCAAATTGAACTCATTTGGGGCTCTGGCACGTTACATCCAGCAGCAGTCTAATCTATCAGAGAAGCCCTTATGAGCAACAGTTCAACTCTTCAATAAGTTTGGAATCACCACAGATGGAAAATTTAGGGACTCGAAAGTTACAGTTACCACCAGGACAATTATCAGATGCAGAAACTTGCTCTCCCCTCGTCGACTTTCGTACTCCCAAAATGAAAAAATTGATGTGAAAACCAAGCCAGACACTCTAAAGACTCCACATCTGTAGTAGATAGAAAGCCACACGAGTAGTCTACTCAGAACTTCTTACAGAACCGAGCACCCAAGAATAAAGCTAAAATCCTCCAAAACGCGATTTTTCGAGTTCGTTGCTTTCGAAGAATTGTTACAGTGGAACCATCCACCTAATAGCTCTAGATTTCGGTATTTCACACCTTGGATGCAAGCGCAAATAAATGCAACACAAAAGTTTGATTCCGTGAAGAAGGCAGAGCAGAAGGCCTGGAAACATTTGGACACGCCTCAGTTGCGTGCCACCGCACGCGCCATACCCCTCATCCGAAGGCTCGTGTTAACGGGGGAAGTGGCAGATCTCAATTCTATTCTGGAATTACTTTGAGTTGAAAGTTACAAATACTTCCCAGAAGTTGGTTCATTCCATCAAGCTACTATGCGTTTTTTACGACACAATGTCTTGGTCCTCATAATTTTGGACCACCCTGTACATCACCATTATTGCCAACAGGTCGCCAACGCAAAGGAGGTGTTCAATGTCTCTCTTATAGAATTCCATGGAGTTCTCATAGAAGAAAAATCGGATAGTTATTGGCATCGTGTAATTGGAGTAAGGCTGGTGTCAGAGCCCGCGATCCGTCGCAGGCTTCGCTGATTTTCGCGATTCGCGCGACGGGTCACGGATATCACGAGTGCCCGATCAGTTCTGCAAGGTGTTCCAATCTCGCCGTCACTTCTGTTTGATAGTAATGGCTGAATGACGACTGCTCATGATTCCACTTGTTTCATATTCAGTGTTTCAATGTTCAGATGGGGCACTTGTAATTTTTGCGATCCGCGCGAAGTCTGCGACGGATCACAGGAATTGCAGTGCCCCGATCAATACCACCCCACTACTTTTTTTCACGTCATGGGTGGCGCCGCGGCGAGCGCGTCCGAGCCCTTTGTGCCCGCGAACTGTGCGGAAAATTTGAAAACGCTCCAACACAGTTTAACAGGAACGAATCATGAGCAGTTCAATGAAATGATAGACATTGAACATGAAACAAGTGAATCACGAACAGTCGTCTTTCAATCTTCACCATCAAACAGAATTCGGTGAAACTCCAGTTCGGGGGGGGGGCACTCCATTTTTCCCCCAATACTCAAGATAAGGATCAGAGGGCTGTCGACACGTAGAGTCATTTAAAGTAGACTTCTGATAATTATTGGTGTAATGGGTGAGAAACCCTGAAACGTTCACACCGCCTGCCATGACCCAAAGGAACGGTCCTGGACCAGGAGAAAGGACACCTCCGCAAAGGGCTAAGGGTGCAGAAGCTCCATGGTAGATCACCTGTGCAGAAAAGTGGATGAGATGTGCGCAGGTAGTGTGGAATGTGGGAAATCCACCGATCCTTATCAAAATTACGCTCGAGATGACGTCTTCACTTATTATTCTTATCCGTAGTGGTTCGATAGGCCCACCAGAGAACTGCTCTCTAGTACTTCGGAAAAGATAGCAATGGAGTGGCCCCGAACTGGAGTTTCACCCATAATTCCAACCAGGATTACAACACCTAGCAGAATTCATAGGGGCATTTCCAATTCCTGCGATCCATCGCAGGTTTCGCAAAGATCGCGCAAATCATGAAAATCGCGAAAATCAGCGAAACCTGTGACGGATCACGGACTCTGATACCACCCCCAAATTTCTCCCCTAAACGTGAGCTAGAGAGGGGAGTGGACAATCGTTCGTTGACAAGAGGTTAGGTTTACAAGGCGGGGCTGAAAGAACTGTCCGCCCGAGAGTCCAATTTTCAATGAACTTCACAAGCTAGAGTCGGACCCCCCCCCCAAATCCTACCACTGGCCCCGAAGCGGCGAAAGGGCGAAACGGGAGAAACCCCGGCTTATAGTGGAGGTAACACCGCCTCAATGGGCTAGCTACCTGAGGGGCGGTATATTAGCTACAACACGCACAAAGAGGGTCCGGAGCGGCGCAGATGGACGCAGGAGCTCTAAGTGCACTGGAGCAAACGGCGACCTGGGGACCTGCAGTCAAACACCGCCGCAGGATTTGGAGTGCACAAGAAGAAAAGCCGTTGAGGCATGGGGACTGTCTACGAATTACGAGACACCAACAACTGTCCTACCATTGCCTCAGCGGCCGACCAAACCATCTTGATGATGGCCAGCAAGAAGCTTCGCTTTGACGTCATCGCCCTCCAGGAAACAAAAACCAAGGAAACAGCCACCAAGAAGACTAACGACGGCCGCCTACTTGGTAGGAGCCAAAGTGGATGGAAGAAACGTTGGCGGCGTCGGATTCCTCGTCCACCAACGGATTGAGCACCTGGTCGACTCAACCGAGGTATTCGGTCCGCAACTGGCCATTCTCCGCTTACGCATTGACAAGCGCCCCTCTATCAGAATTATTAACTGTCACGCGCCAACGTCAACAGCAACGGATGGAGAGAAAGACATGTTTTAATAAGGAGCTGGAGGAGGCTACGAAAAAGGAGCGTTCGTACTACAAGTACGCTGTTGGAGACTGCAACGCATTCATCTATGAGGAAAAGCCGGCGACAGCGCGCATTGGACCGCACGGAACCGGAGATGCAAACAAAAACGGAGAACTTTTTATGGACTTCCTGAAGCAATGCAACCTCTCCCACAGAAAAAGCCTCTTCATGAAAAAAATTGGCCCAAGGGTGGACATGGAAGAGCCCTGGCGCAGTAGCTCACAGCGAAATCGACCATATTCTCACGAACAGGAAGTAGAGTTTGCACGTGAGTGTGGTAGATGCATTCGCACCGAAAGCGACCAAAACCTCGTCCGGGCCAAAGTTCGCCTCCGAGCGAAACTCCAAGGCAAGACCACTATCGACCTCCTCCCATACGACTGCCACAGAACGACATAAACGCGGTGGAGGCGACCGCTGCTCACTACACGTGGCAGGAGGCACAGGACTTGTCAAAGGACTGCGACTTGCTTGTAGGACTTCTACACTGCGCAAAGTCATCGGTTGTGACAGCAAGAATGAATTCAAAGAGTAGGACCGATGACAATGCTCGTACACTCCTTCAACAACGCGATGCCGTCCACCGTAAGTCTGCATCCACACCAACGCGCTACGATTAAAGGAAGTGGTAGCGATAATTTTCATGGGAACGATAGGGGAAGCTATGTATTGGAGTGGATAGAGGTTCTACCCAGTTTTACAACACGTGACGTTCCAGTGACAGTGGCCCCTTATCAACGGAGTGATTAGGCGCCGAAATCCACTTCCGTTCAGCGAAATAAAGGCTTATCGATGTGGAAAGGGGTGCGATAAGAGCGTGCTAAATATGATACCGTTATCGATATAGTCCCGTTTTCAATCTGGAGTGCACCTCTTATCAAGCGGCCGCACCTTCTTATCTCATCGTATCATAGCTTCCATGGGCTTACACTCGTCCGGTAATTACTGCCTCACACCTTATCGTTTGATAGCGCGAGGGTAGCAAATCCAGCGTGATCTCTTCCTTTGACAAAGCGTGCCGCTATGCTGTGAAGGAGTCGATTCAGCGATACAAAGACCCTCGAATGAAGGAAGCGGCAGTAGCGAGCCTCAAGCGATGTCTTCGAGGCATTTGTGACTCTCGCTCACTAATAACTGTCATGAGAGACGCGATGAGAGACCGCCGACATCGAACGAAGATTGAGTAGATTGCCGTCGGCTTCTATACGGACCTCTTCCGATCGACGACACCGGTTTCCCGTATCCCTATACCAACACAAGAGGTGGCTCCGCGGATAGAAGAGTGGGAGGTAGAGAACGCCCTAGGTCAGATGAAGCTGAGAAATGCACCCGGACCGGACCGCATCTCAGGGAACTTTTTGAAGTCGGCGTCCAACACTGTCATCGAGCAGCTCACCAAGCACTGTAATATGTATCTGGACGAGCAGAGAATCCCGGACCAGTGGAAGACGTCAAGTACGG